AAAAAAAAAAAAAAAAAAAAAAAAAAACAATTAGGAAAATTCTCTAATTTAAACGTCGCACAAGTTAACAAATCACTAACTTGATCTTTTAATCCTTTATATATAAAAGCAAGCTGATAAGCTTGAAATACAATTGGCGGTAGAGTATATTTAATTCTTTTATTTCCACCAGCACTAAAGTGTTTTCTAGCAGCACTTAATATCATATATTGTTGATCAGCTGTCTCAGACTTGAAATGATGTATCAGTCTACCAAGAAGACCTTGTTCTTCTGCAAAATCTTCAGGATCTTCTTCCATATTGGGTTGATCCGGTTGGTCTTGCACCAACGGAGACACCATAGAAAGAACTGCATCTACTTGTTCTTGAGTTGGTATTAACGTCTCGTTTTCTAATATGTTTGTTATTATATAAATAGCTAATAACTTTCTGCCTTCATAGTCAAAATAATCTAACAACGGAGCAAAATGTTCGAGCTTCAAAACAGTTAATATGTTTTTATAATTATCTACTGGAATTTTCATAAGTCTTACTAATTCTCTTGATACAGCACTATTATACTCCAGCCTGAAAACGTTAAATTTATCACGTAATCATTATATAAAAAACTTAATTCTATTATACATACTTATCTACATTCTGCTTTTGAAATATTTGAACAGTTGTTAATAAAACTTTATCCACATAATTCACTCTATCAGGATAACACTTGTGTGCCAAATTAATAAGGGCTACTTGAAGAGAAACTACGTCCTCCGGAGGCATATCTTGCCTAGTCTGCGAATGATAATTAATTTTAACAATCACGCGTACTTAATAATTCAGTAATTATTACGAAAAGCAACTTTCAGACTTAAACTAAACGAGTAAGGATAATTTGTACGTTAACAAGTAATCACGTCAATATCAAATTTTGTATAGCTTTCAATCATCACAGAAATAGCAAAATTGAATTAGCAATGCATTTTTTTCACAAATTGTACCTGCCTGTATAATTATAGCTATCTGATCACTGAAAACATCAAAAAGTTTTACATCTTGTGGAATTCCTGGTACTTGATTAGGACTTCCCGGTCCTCCTACGCCATCCGATCTTTGACTAAATGCCGCAAGACGGTCTATCAATGAAATAATTATATTTTTCACATTTACACCATTTTGCAACTCGGCACAAGATTTTAAAAATGCATTCAAGGTTTGTAGATGAAATTCATCGGGAAAAACCTAAAAAGTACGAACAAATCATAGACTTTATCACACTATTATTTCAAACATTTTCAATTATTTCAATTACTTGAATTATACACTCCATAAGATATTCTTGAGCAATTGCATCTCTGCAACTGACTACTTGTTCCAGAATTCCCGGTAAAACAAGCTAAAAATCACTCTTATTAACCAATTATTCTTAAGATTTCAATAAATCAAACATATTTACGACCAACCTTTTTGTATTTCTCCAAAGTGACCGATTCCAATTGGCTAAGTCGTACAAGATTAGTTCCCACTAATATTCTAAGTTCTTCTCTTTCTCTTTCTCTTCTTTCTCTGTCTCTAGTATGACCTTGATGTTGCATGCGTACCCATAATTTATTCATTTCCGCGAAATTCATCAAGACAAAATCTATACTGTCACGAACCTAAGGAAAAATATAGAATATAAACCTGTCTCTTTTACACACGACTCGTTTTTATACATACGCTTCCATCTTCATCATCCTCTTCGGCAACATCTGGTAAAATGTTACGCGTACATTGTAATAAATAATTTCTTAAAAACAGACCCCTCAAAGGATGTTGAACCCCTCTACACATTTCTACCAAATCTCTTAATAAATCTCTCTTTAAGCCAGGTGTTGTTTTAATATATACCAATCCAACTGTGATAAGTAGATATCTATAAGAATTATATACATCATCGCAATACAATAAACACACACGTAACGTAAACTAGTAGGATTTTTTGAAACGAACACTTACAGCCTGGGTACGATATTTCCAACATATTGCACCAATTCATATAAATCTGTAACTTTCCTTCCTTTCTGAAATTCATCTAACAAATAAAGTTCTAAATGCCTCAATTCATCAGTAATGGCCATATCTAACGTTAGAAATAAGAGAAAATATTCGTTGTTGTTTGTTATTCAAAATAATTAAAATATACATATAACGAATAAAATTACAAGACACTTTCTTTTCTGTTTTTTTGTTTTTTTATCGGTTTCTAGATTTTTTTAGTACATACAGCATTATACACAGCACAATGATTTTTATCTAATAATTTCACAATTTCGTTAATACTATATCTTTTTGTCTGTAACAGAACATTTTGACCATTTTCATTATTATCCAACACGTTTTCTTATTAATTTATTAATTCTTTTTGTCTTAAATAATTAAATGCACAATGATCCATCAATTCTTTTTATCTTAAATAATTAATATTACAAATAAATAACAAATCGTTACCTCTACGTTTACTCACAGTCAGATAATTACTGGTAGAAATTGCAAATAAAAAATAAGCCAAGCGACATAATTCCGTCTAATCAATGTCAGCTTATATTTACACATATCACATACATATTTAAAATTAACAAGGATACATAATTCATAATAACTCTTTGGACTCAACAGAGATGTTCTGAGTTCTCCCAACATTGTAGACGCATGCTTTAACGCATCCATCAACTTAGACTTATCCAGACAATGTTTCATTTGAAAAGCCTGTACTTTGACCACACCAATTGCATCTTCGAGTAATTTTTCTTGCTCTTCTACTCCAGTTATGGCAGGTGTCATGGGCTGCGAGAAAAATAAAGATACCTACCAGGAACACCAGGTAGTACCATGCTAGATAAACAACTCAATGCAAGCATGCACCATTTTATGCTTCCATGATAAAAAGAAGCAAAATGAAACTATTCCACTACATTATAACTATAAAACTAACCCATTAATATTTATGAAAAAGAAGTATCACATAATTTATATAAAAAGCAAAAACCTTTAACATTATAATGCATTTACAATAAAAATGAACTATAATTAAAATGTTTTTTATATAGTTTTACACAGTTTTGAGACAATGAAAATTTGATTAATATCGGAGGTTGCAATTTCAACGAAATATCACTAAATAAAAAAAAGAGTAAAAGTAAATTTTTAAAAATAAAGTAAACTTTCTACAGCATTTAATAAAAGATAAAAAAAAATATCAAGCGGACTTTGACTAACATTGACTAAATTGTTAAGCATAAATTTTTTGCAACAGTTAACCTCCATAATATTACGAATTTTATTACGGACAATGCTTTACATTTTTATTGAAATTCAGTTGATCGTTTTCACAAGCAAGGCCTTAACGTGCTTTTTGAAATTAAATTTATATTTACCATTTTTTTTTTCTTAGAAAACTAAATACTCGTTGTACACCGCACTTGAAACACTCACCGTTAAAAGCGACACACTACAATCGCAGCCTTACATATTTGAATTAGACGCATATACGAAAAACTATCTATCGAGATATTTTTAAATTAATATATTTACTTTTTTTAAAAAATTATTAACATTATATATCAAGATATTTAATTATAAATATTAATTATAAATTATAAATATTAATATATTTATCGAAATATTTTTAAATTAATATATTTACTTGGTTTATATATAAAGGTATTTAATTATAAATATCGAAATAATCTTTTTACATCAAATTGAATATTTATCAAGATGTTAATTACTTCATTAAACATTGTTCTTTACATCTTTGATCGAAAAAATAAATAAATATTTACGCTGTCATAGTTTTTATAGATTTTTAATTATAAACGTTACATTTAAATTATTTCACGTATAAGATTATATCTGACAATACTATTCATCATATACAAGATTATCCAAGGAAAGCTTATCCGTGGCAACCTCCTCCTATCGAGTAAACAATCTTTTTAAGAATCAAAACTTTTAATACGGATCGATCGTAAACTGTAAAATATCAATTAACCTTCAACGATTTCATATAAATATCCAATTCATCCTCGGTCTCAATTTCATTCGTATCTTCGATAGAACCTACAGTTTCAGGTGATTCCGAATCAAAATATTCATCTTCTTCATCCTGTGTTCTTATGTCTATGTTATCATATGCTTCATTTTCATCAACAGTCCTGAAAAAATTGTACGTTAGAACAGTGTATATAAAATGTATAATAAACAAACAATTATATTAAAAATGTATTTATAATACAAACAATAAATTAAAACATTATTATGAAATTAAATAGTACAAACAATAAATTAAAACATTATTATGAAATTAAATGTTTTTAAATACCTGTAATCAAAATCTATATCTTTTCCATCCAAAAAATTTTGGTACATATTTGTGACAAATTCTTGTTTAAGTACTTGCTTTTCGGATTTTGAAATACAACATGGATTTTTTATTGCTTCGTTTCTACGTTGAACTTCATTCTCTACAATAGGCATTACAGCCCAATACGTAGCTTTTTTTTTATAATTTTTCAAAGCATACATACTTTCTTGCTCTTCATCCGTATCATTTTCCTCCAGTACATTTTGTTCTTCTTCCTCTTGTAATTTTTGTTTCATCTTTAAATTATCCCTTTCAATATTTTCCATTAATAAATTCACAAAAGTAATATTTTTAGTATCTATATTATCTCTAAGTCTTTTTTGTTTTTCAGTCATGTATCGTCCAATTAAATGTTCATACAACAATGGATTTCTTTTCATCATCTCAGATTCACTGAAATACTCTCCTTCTTCTATTAAAGTCTTTAAAGCTTGGTATCTTCTATTTTTCACATCAATTTGTCTCGTCGAACTATCGAAATATCTTTGTAATTTATTGAAGTAATAAGCGATTTCATAATCTTCATTTTTACTTTTTGCAAAAAATTTTAAATGTTCTTTCTTCATATAGCGACCAAACTTGGATAAAAATAAACAATAACTTTTTCGAAGTATATCACGGGCAATTATTAGTTTTTCTTCAAAAGTTAAATCTGGATCATCTTTTTGTTGACTCTTAAAAATTGCCTTACTTTTTGCTACATGATGCAGCAGTTCTTCCTCTGAATTTTTATCTACTTCGCTTAAAGAAATTTGTTGCGAATTATTATCATCATTTTTGTCATCTATAATAATTTTTGATCCATTATTTCGTTTATTTTCTTTCTTATTCATGTTTCATCAAAATATTTTATTTTATAACCACAATTTTAACGTAATTAAATCAACGCGGTCGATTGCGTAACAATTATATCTCACATATTCTAATTCCATACATATTAACCATGAAAGTATTTTTACAACAATACTTTTGTTTTTATTTTTAATTTAATATATATATATACATATATATATTTTTTTTTTCATACAACCTCTATGTCATACAATATCTTGACGTCATCGGAACTAACTGTCATCGAAAACCTAACCTACAATTTTGAGATAAGACCAATTCGAAATATGATACATCACGAGATGTATAACAAATATTAAAATACGTTTATACATGTGTGTGTATGTGCGTGTCTGTGTGTATTATTTTATAAACTGGAATATTATATATATTTCATAAGTAAATACTTTATAATATGGAAAATCTATTATATTGTTGTAGGTGTATTTTTAATTACCATTTTAATTTGTTCGCAGACAGTTATGACAGTTGGAATAACAGATAAGAAGTTTCACAAAATAAATATTTAACTATTAGTCAAGTGTAATAGAAATTGTATACTTTCGCTCTTTACCTACAAATTAGATATTAATTTCTATGTATCTTAAACAATTGTATTTATTAACTTGAATTTATTTATAGATTTGGCTTACGAATATGGATAATTGGTTAATCGATGATGGTGGAGAGACATGGAAATGGAATTGGACAGAATTATGTGGGTATCATGGAGATATTAAGCCTTTAAATCCGGATACACATGATCTTGATGTATGCTTCCAACAGCTTTGCCTTCAGGTAATTCATTATCAAGACACTTATGTTTCATATACACGAATCATATATATTATTATATCTTTTAAAACACTTTTTAGATTCCAGTTTTAACCTGTATTGCTATAATTTCTGCTTATCACTGTGGAAAAAGAAACATATATTCTGTTCGTCATTTTGACTCTAATTACGTTATAAAATTGAGAATTATAATTACAATGTGCCTTATAATTCTTCCCATACTTAAAGCATATATTATTCTTAGTAATACTGTTCTTACTCCATCAAGACATATATTATCTAGTAATAATTCAATACAAGTATATGTAACATCAACTGAAAGGCCAGATATATCTTCGGAAAGTTCACATATATTACATCAGATACAAGATAAATGGAATCATACTATTGATTTTGCAAAATCAATTCTTTTTCCGAAGACCAGTATTCAAAATGTTACCGACTCTCCTATGATTCCTAATATACAAAAGTATAATCCAATATTAATTACAGTCAAAAACAAAATCACGTCTGCCAAACCTATTGATTATCTCGTGGCAGGTACCGAAGGAATAGCATGGGTTGTTCATCTTTGTTTTATAATGAATTTAAGAAAAGGAAGGAATTTTAATCAACGTGGTCCTGTTTTAATTCGAGCATTAATATTTCTATTGATCGTTATATCTATATTACTGTTAAGAAGTCATATAAAATACAGTCCAAAAAATGATGTTTTACCAGATTTATCATTGGGATTTAGTATCAGTGTAGTCACTCTATTAATACTCTATGCTGTAACACTAATACCAGGTCATAATAGTGTACGAGATACGAGGTCTCAATTTAACGAAGTAAGTTGTTACAATCTGTTTACTTCCAATATACTACTTCATATTATCACTGATTAATATTTTCTGCTTACTCATCTAGAGATGAGATTTCAAAATCTATCGCTAAATATATATGTTGTTATTAAATTGACTATGATATCTAGAAATATGGATAATCAAGCAAACATAAATATAATAAATTAATGAGAAATATGTTTATAGATAGGAGAACGAACTGCACTATTGAATAGTCCTAATTCTTCTTATATAAGATTTCCTGAAGAACAGGATCCAACTTATCTTGGGATTGCTATGGAGAATGCAACTATAATTTCCAAACTTACATTTCATTGGGTAAATCCACTAATGGAAAAAGGTGTTCATGGTTCATTAAATAATTCTGATGATTTATTTGACTTGCCAGAATACATCAGTACTAATACAATTAATCAAAAAATTGATAAACATTTACAAAATATGGTAAATTTAATATTATACTTTTTCAATTGTTAATAACAAAAATAATTATATTTAAAATAATATATCGTAGCAAAATGATGTAACTAATATAGTGGAAAATTTTGAATCAATATTAGAAAATAACGAAGAAGAAACAGAAACGCATTTTGAAACAATTAAAAATAAAATAACTTTATTTAAATTATTACATAAATGCTTTGGTTGTGAATTTTATTCCGTTGGAATATTAAAATTTATTACCGATTCCACTTCGTTTATGGGACCGTTATTACTGAATAAATTAATTGGTTTTATCGAAGATAAAAGTGAACCTGTCTTATACGGATATTTATATGCATCGTTAATATTTACAAGTGCTTTAATAGGTACGTAACATATAAATAAAAGATTATGTTTGTCGGAAATTTTAATAATTTTCTTATTTTAGGAGCTTTTTGTAATACTCATTTCACTTTCTGGATATCTGTAATTGGTTTAAAAATTCGTTCTACAGTTGTAACTCTATTATATCGAAAGATTTTGCATTCCTCAAACGTACAAATGAGAAAACAATTTAATTTCGGTGAAATTGTTAATTTTATGAGTACAGACAGTGACAGACTTGTCAACAGTTGTGCAAGTTTTCATGCATTTTGGAGCATACCATTGCAGGTAATTTATTTTATTGTACTTCCACGTTAAGAAATTATTTATAAACAATAAAAATATTTATATGTTTTTCAGTTAATCGTAGCATTGTATTTTTTGTACAAGCTGATAGGAGTTTCATTCCTAGCTGGAATTATTTTTGCAGTAGTGCTTATACCTATAAATAAAATGATAGCAAATCAAATTAGAAAATATAGTACGAAATTGATGGAGTGGAAAGATCGAAGAGTTAGACTTATAGGGGAAATATTACGCGGAATAACTACAATTAAATTAAACGTGTGGGAAGATCATTTTTTGCGAAACATATTAAGTACATTCTGGAAAATACTAATTTATTTTTTATCGTTCTTTTATTTTCATAAATGATATGTTTTTGATTTTTTTTATTCAGAATTACGTGAAAATGAGATCAAGTACTTACGCGGCAGAAAATATCTAGATGCTTTGTGCGTTTACTTTTGGGCTACAACACCTGTATTGATCTCCATATTAACATTTGCCACATACGTACTTCTTGGAAATAAACTCGATGCAAAGACAGTTTTTACCAGTATGGCATTGTTGAACATGCTAATTACTCCGTTGAATGCATTTCCATGGATTTTGAATGGTCTTACAGAGGCTTGGGTGTCACTTGAAAGGATTCAAAGGATGTTAGACGTACGTTAAAGTTTATATTTATAAGTTTGTAAATGATTTATAAACACTAATTAAATTTAATCCAATATAGTTACCAGATACAGATGTGTCGTCGTATTATTCAGAATCACCATCTGGAATAGATTTAATGCTCCAAGATATAATATTTAGCGCAAACGAAAATCAAAGTACAGAGGAAAATGGTCTCGCTAAATCCAAAAGTGTATCCAGCCCATCTGGTAGTTCAGAATCTAAAAAGACTGTTACATTTGAAAGTGATGGCATTTTTAATTTAAATGACATTAGCGTTACCGTTCCAAGGGTAATAATTTCGCAATCACGCGTTGTTTTAATTTTATCCAATTTTACAAACAATATACTTTATTTCAGGGCCACTTAATCGGTATTATGGGAGAAGTAGGTAGCGGAAAATCATTACTTTTCGATGGTATTTTAGGTGAAATTATCAAGGTTCGTGGGATAATAGCAGTAAATGACATCAAAAAGGGTTTTGCGTACGTAAAACAAAATCCATGGTTACAGCGTGGCACAATTCGAGAGAACATTCTTTTTGGCAAACCATATGATTATAATAAATACAAGTAAGTATTAAATTAATAATAAGCATCGAACGTTTGCGAGTAATAATATTTCCAACTAAAATTATTTGTTACAGGAATATCTTAGCAGCATGTGCTCTCAATACCGATTTAAATTCTTTGCCTAAGAAAGATCTAACACTTATCGGCGAAGCAGGAAACACATTAAGCGGAGGTCAAAAAACAAGAATTTCTTTAGCACGTGCTATATACGCAGATAAAGATATTTATTTATTAGACGATATTTTGGCAACTTTAGATTCTAAAGTCGCTAGTTACGTGTTTAAACATGTTATTACGGGTTTATTAAACAACAAAACAAGATTATTATGTACTCACCAAACTCGATATTTAATGTATGCAAATTTAGTATTAGAAATGTCGAAAGGTAGAATCATTAATCAGGGCAAACCAAGCGACGTGTTACCTGATTTAGAGGATTACTTATTATCTTCAGATTCTACAGAGTCAGATTTAAATATTATATCCGCGAATGATTTGCCAAGGGAATTGTATCAAATTAACAAAAATGAAAAAGATTTATCACTCGATGAAGAATATAAAGAGAAAGGCAAAATACGACTTGGAGTATATAACTGTTATATAAAAGCAATAGGCCCTTATTTGGCAATTTCAATTATTCTCTCCATGTTTTTAATGCAAAGTTCTAAAAATGTCACAGATTTATGGCTTTCATACTGGGTTACTCACGTTAATACAAATGTAACTAATATCACAGATAGCTCGTCAACTTTACGATCGCAATATTTCTTTGAAAATTATAGTACAAGTACAAATTATTATTTAACGATATACGCTTTGTTGGCTGTATTTAATACATTATTCACATTAACGAGAGCATTTATATTTGCATATAGCGGAATTCAAGCAGCAATTTGTATACACAAACAACTTTTAAAAATTGTAGTACGGGTATGTAGACTTCATAAAATCTAACATCATACTAAAATATTTAACTCGAATAATATAGAATACGTTTTTAGGCTAAAGCTGTCTTTTTTGATATTCAACCATTTGGTAGCATTTTAAATAGATTTTCATCCGATACATATACGGTTGATGATAGCCTTCCCTTCGTCGCTAATATATTGTTTGCTCAATTATTTAGCTTGATTGCCACGATTATTATTGTAGCCTATGGATTGCCTTGGATACTTTTAGTATTGGCGCCATTAGTACCGGTTTATCATTGGATTCAAAATCATTATAGGTATGTTGCCCAAGTTTTTTTGATAAATTATAGATACGTTAGTGTAAATATGTTCCGAACCACTCGTTATTTTATCTATATCTTTCAGATTAACATCGAGAGAATTAAAGCGCTTATCCAGTGCTGCTCTTTCACCGTTGTATGCACATTTCAACGAAACTCTACACGGATTATCTACCATTAGAGCTTTCCGCACAGTTTCTCGCTTCGAACAAGAAAACGAACTCTTGTTAGAAATTAGTCAAAGAACGCAATTTGCATCGTTTGCCGTGAGTCAATGGCTCGCATTAAGATTACAACTTATTGGAGTGGCACTTTTAGCAGGAGTGAGCAATATAGCAGTTTTACAACATCAATATAATATCGCGGACCCTGGCTTAATAGGTCTTATCATTACTTACACGTTATCCGTGACTGGGTTACTCTCCGGTGTAGTAAACGCATTTACCGAAACAGAAAGGGAAATGATAGCGGTTGAACGCATAAAACAATATTTAGAAAATATTCCGATAGAAACTGTAAAAGGAGAAAATCCACCATATGCTTGGCCGAGTCAAGGTGTAATTGAATTTAGAGATGTTGTTTTAAAATATAGGTAACTAATACTAATTAAAACTAATTAAATGCTATTGTTAAGTTTGCATATGCTGTACGTCAAGTATTACGATGTTTAAATCTTGCAGAGAACATTTAGCACCATCTTTAAATGGTATATCGTTTATTACCAGACCAGCAGAAAAAATTGGAATCGTTGGTCGTACGGGTGCTGGAAAAAGTTCTCTGTTCGCTTCGTTATTTAAATTAACAGAAATAACTTTTGGAAGCATATCGATCGATAACGTTAATGTAGAAACTTTACAATTAAACGCAATAAGGTATGAATAATTAACATATAATTTAAAAAATGTTTAATTATATTGTCCGAAAAATTTTACCTTTTTTTTTGATTTCTATTTATATATCTCCATCAGTTTTTGAAAAAATTAATTTTGAAAGAAAATTTCAATCTCAAACATTTATTGTATTTTAACTGTGAAAATCACAAATGTTTCTTACATAAAACAATTTTTATATACCCTCTCAAATATATATATATATATTTATTTATAAAAAAAAATATATATATATATATATGAATAAACATTACAAACATTTCGATTTATGTTGAAAATTAAAAATTCAGATGCAGGCAAACTTTTTTCTTTTTTGTTTCTGAATGAGAAATTAAAATAATTCCACAATACATAAATAAATATATCGTCGCATAATCATTTTGAAGATACAATAAAGGAATATTGCTTTTAAATGTATTATTCGTATTTAAAGTTGAAAATCTTTCAAAACTAATTTTCTTAAAAATTGATAAGAAAAATGGTTTTCAGTAAATAAAACAAAAATCACTTATCAGTTATTACAACGCAAGATATTTATTGTACAGTGTTAGAAATAAGTATCGAAATCATTTCAGATCTCGATTAGCTATCATACCACAAAATCCATTTTTATTTTCGGGTACTATACGAGAGAATCTCGATCCCCTAAATCAATATCCAGATTTACAAATATACAAAGCCATTGAGAAATGCAAAATTCATTCGTTGGTATATCGTTTGGGGGGGCTTGGTGCTACTTTGGACGAACAGGGTAGCAATCTTAGTGCAGGTCAAAGGCAATTGTTCTGTTTAGTTAGAGCAATTTTACACAATGCCAAGGTAATATTATCATATTTTTAAATCAGGAACTTCCAATACATTTGGATTGTTAATCTCTTCTTACAGATCGTCTGTATCGACGAAGCTACGGCAAATGTCGATCAAGAAACAGACAAGTCTATTCAAGCGACAATAAAATCTTCTTTCCAAACTGCTACAGTACTCACTATAGCACATAGGATAAGGACGATTATGTACTGCGACAGGTATGTCACTTTCATTATTTGCTCTAAATATATATGGTTGATGTATGTTTTTTAAATTTCAGAGTTCTCGTACTAGGAGACGGAGAAGTTTTAGAATTTGACGAACCAAATTTATTAATTGAAAATATCGATTCCCATTTCTATCATCTTATAAACCAAGAATTTTCCGACAAGGAATGAACGTAAGACTAAATATCTTTTGCCTAAATATATTTATTTTCTCAACAAACGCGTAATCTTACAAAATGATATAATATTTGTTATTTCTACTACGTTTAACGCAACATGTTAGTAAGAAATCTGTAAATTATAATTATTTTCATATAAATCTAATCAATAAGAATATATATAATGTATTAATTCAGTAAACGTCAAGATTATGAAATATCATTTGATTTTTTTTGTTATTAAAAATATTTGTATTAAGTCAAACTACCTCGCTGTAAATTCTTACATTGTAAATAATATAAGAATTCATCGAAATCAATATACCTTTTTTCGTAACGATCCAACTCTTTAAATATCGTCTGAAATACCGTTGGTATTACTTTCAAGTCGACAGACTTTCTTGCAAAATTGAAATCATCCAATATTAAATATCCTTCATCTATAACAACAGCTCTTTGATCATTTAAAAATGTATCAACTTTGTTAACAATACCTACAATCTTTATCTAATAAAGTGAATAATATTTGTACATTAACGCACAAATCATCCGCTTTAATCTTCTTAAATATCCACGATTCAAACTCTTCGTATAAAATTTTATTGGCACATTGAAAAATTTGTTTCACTTCCGTCTGTAGATCGAAACAGAAATTACGCATCTTCAATCAAAATTCGCCATCGTTTTAAAAAAGGACTTCACTTTGTTCGGACAACAACCGTCATTGCTATTTTGTATTCACGTTCGTTCAAACATCCTTTTCCATTTACATCAGCATAACGAAAAGCCTAGAGTTTCAAATCATTCGACTTCTTACAGTTATTCCGGATTAAATTTCCATCTTACCATACCCGCGTGATTTTTGAGATTCTTCAGTGTCATCTCGTCCTCCCCAAATGGATCCCACTAAATGGAAATTTTCTCCAACGATTTTGAAAATTAAACGATTCAATGAAAACAAGAAATATCTCGCAACATCTGGCAACAACCAGTAATTACGACACACAAAAGAAAAGATCGGTTTTTCATCACGAAGAAGAATTCGACTGACACGTATTATTATATCGTAATTAAAACGGTGTCTCGTCTTTCAACCGGCGGGGGTATTTTGCAATGTTCATAGCACGGCCAATTAACGTCGCCGCGAAACATGCACACGCGTTCTCTCGCAGCTGTGCGCGTTCGATGACACAATGTGTCCGCTATATCCGGCATTCAACTGCCATTTTCACGGCCTCTGTCACCGTTCTCCGCCGCTGGAAACTAACGAGCTAACGAGTAACTTTTACCGGCGAATTTTACTTTTCGTTTTTTAATTACCCGCCATTTAATCCCGTTTTTCCTTGTTTCTCGTGTACGCGTATATCACGGCAGAAACGATATTTTCACACACCAGCCAATGATAAACCAGTCATATTTTATATAACACTAATAATATACATTTCTGCCACAATATTTACGACAATTTAACTAAGTAACTTGCAAATAGTATGTCCAATGATCCTAATAGTATGTCCAAATGATCTTACAGAATCGTGTGATAGAATCATAATACAGAATTTGTATGTCTTGACGATAAAAAACCTAAACCTAACCTAACCTAAACCTAACCTAAACCTAACCATTCCTCTAGTTCAACTTCAAGAACAAGAAGAAAAAAAAATGATTCAAGCGGTTAAGCTTTCAGAATATTGAAGTTCAACTAATTTAGGTTGAACGAAATAAATGTTCAAGCAATTTAGGTTGAACAATATCGAGGTTCGAGCAACGAAGGTTTAAAAGATCAAGGTTCAAAGAAAAATTGACGTTCAAACGATTAAAGCTCAAAAAAAAGATTCAGATTGTTAAGATTCGAAAAAATTGAGATCGAAGAGATCAAAGTTCAAAAAGATTAACATTCATTAACAAGAAATTACAGTTCAAGGAAAACTGAGGTACAAGCGATTCAACAAGTTCGAGATTCACTAAAATATAGTTCGAAAAATTATTCGACAAGATTAAACTTGAACAAATTACAATTCAAGATCAAGATTCAAGGAAAATTGATGTTCAAACGATCAAAGTTCAAGAGGACGAAAGTTCTAAAGATTATGTCTCAAAGAAAATTGAAGTTCGAGCGATTAAGGTTCAAGAATATTCAAGTTCAAGTGACGTAGGTTCAAGAGAATCAAAGTTCAAGTAGTTTAGTTTCAAAAGAATCAAGGTTCAAGCGATGTAGGTTCGAGAGAAGTAAGGTTCAAGTTATTTAGGTTCAAGAGAATTAAGGTTCGAGTTATTTAGGTTCAAGGGAATCGAGGTTCAAGTACTTTAGGTTCAAGAGAATCGAGGTTCAGCTGATTTAGCCTCGGTGATATCCAAGTTAAAATAACTTGGTTCAAAGAAAAAAAAAGAAAAATAAAATAAAAAGAAACAGAAATACAAATAAATCAAACCGAAGCTGTTGAATTGGAAGAAATTAAATTTCTAGTCCTTAGAAACAAAGTAATCGTAGAAATAGAATTCGACAAATTAAAATTGAAACCAACAGTGTCGCAATAGAACAAATTAAACTCGAAGCACTTACATTTAGAAGAAACAATTGCCAAGTAGTTGCAGTTGAAAAAATTAAATCCAGAGATACGAGGTCAAGTTTGATACCTTCTACGAGAAATAGGACGAAACGAAGGAAAAAACATTCTAGCTACCCATTTTCCAAGATCACAACTTCAAGTATCAGACGTCCAACAGAAATCGAAGCACAAGTTTTCAATTTTGAGAAGGAATCAAATTCCAAGCCCGAGAATTATGAAGAAAGCAAGAAAAGAAGAAGAGAAAGAAAAAAAAAGAAAAGACAAGAACGAAATTAGAAGCAAAGAAACGAGAGGAAGAACTACAGAAGCTGAACAAGTACTTATACCCAGCCGACTTTTGTCACCGGTGACGAAAGAATAAATTAACAAACGAAAGAAATCGATTAAAAACGAGAATCGATATGCCAAAGCTTCTAGGAACGTCATTGCAGACGAATAACTTGAAACGCGTTGGAAATAGTAGGATGGAATTGAAAATTTTCCACGAAGGAATTAACGAAAACAAGAATGTAATGGAACGTTGCAATGTTAATTGCCACCGTAGTCGCAGGCACGGTCGATTTAAAAAAATTAAGAGTTTTTCAATAAAACGTAAAGAAAGAATCGAAAGAGAGAAACGCGTCGAGCACCTCTGGGTGTTAGTTGCTCGCGCGACTAAGAGACGGCGCCACGGTGTCTGCGAAGCAGCCGTCGGTGCAGACACAGTTGGCGGCAGATGCCGTGGCAATTCGGCTTTTTGTATTAACAATTGCCGACAACTTGGAAACGTTGAAATTGCACGCAGCTATAGTCTCTTATTGTTAACTTCGACAACGTCCAAAGTAACGTTGACTGCCGTGTATTTACCATTGTGGAAATGACACGTGAAATACATCGACTTGCGTTCAATAATTTGTTAATACGCGTGTATACTGTAGTGCGACTCGTGCTTCCAATAACGTTCAAAATACTGTTAGTGATTGAGACTTGTGCAGCGTAGAAATTACATCTGCCACCGACGTCTGAGAGTGATATTTATTCATATGCATGTAGCATTTTACTAATAATACATACAGTAACGTGTCAAATTGTATCGTTGATCTCTTTGCCCTTGTACAAATAAGTTATAAAATGTATGAACCGACAGCCTTGTTCAACTGGAATGGAATCATGACGCTGTGCTCCGTTAACAGCGTTGAATTGCATATGCAGTGCTACAAAGATAGTCCGTTGATGCATAAAATGATAGTATCGTTCGATCAGATGCGTATTAGAGACAATATTAAAGTGTATACATGGTCTTGTAGAAATAAGAATTGCCAATGTTTCAATTCTATTGGTAATGCATGATAATTGGTAATGTATGATAATTGATAATATGTATCGATAATATTTATAACGATATAACTTGTGTTTACCAGGGTTGAACTACAACTACAGTGAGAATATCTTGTATCGTGTATTGATTGCCACTGTTATTCAACTACATACCTGCTGCTACCATTGATGTCTAACGCTGTCGAAGCAAATATTAACACTGGTAGAGATGGACAACATATTGGATCGTGCGTCGAATGATGATATTATTGAAGCAAATACACACAGATACGAATATCCTGCACCGATGCCATTCCAATCGATATAACGATCTGTTTCAAATCTGTCTTGCACAATATATCAAGTGATACTATTACTCAAGTACAAGGGTCGTATTATAGACGTAAGATATTTAATGCTATTTGTCTTGCGAACGTTGCATGAATTCAAGTTGCAAGCAAACAAGTTGAAGACATATTCCGCAGGTTCCAGTTGGAGAATGTGAGAAACGGAAGAGAAGCAGCGACAACGACAGCAACGAGAGAAACGAGAGGATAACTTTCGAGTCGACCTTGAAACGTTGATTTCGGTAATATTAAGTTGCAAGTTTCGCTAGAAAGAAGGAAAAAGCAGCAAAGCAAATTTAAATGAAGCGCCTCTGTTCCTTAGTTCGCCGTGCAACCAAGAGATGGCGCCACGGTGTCTACCAAGCAGCGATCGGTGCCGAAAAATTCAGGGAAAGATGTCGCAGCGAGGCGCGCGTGGAAACTCGTCTTTTCAGACGTCGAGATAAGGAACGACGACTTTTCCCATGTATTTACGATTCTCTGGACAATATACGAGGCAATGTCTAAAATTGTATTCTTAATCTGTCCTTGTAGAAGCAGCATCTGGCACGATGTGCGAAGTATGAATGTTGTTTAACTGCAACTAGCGATATGCACGCACGGTCTCGCGTTGATAGCGATGATGCTCTTAAAGTCTATTACAGAATATATTGTTCGACTGAATGCATAGCTTTGTAGACGTACTGTCGGATTAACGGTGAATTCCAATTAAATAGTCTCGGAGATGAAACTTGAAGATAAATGGGAATACAAGAGAGAAAAAGAGACGACAATCCAGTGACCTTCAAGCGTTAATTTCATCGAAACTCACTTGCAAATTTCGCGGAAAACAAGAGAGAATGAGTGAAGCAAGTTTCGATACAGCGCCTTCTATTGTTAGTTCGCGGCGCGTCCCAGAAATGGCGCCACCATGTCCATATCGCGGCATTTGCCGTTGAGCGAACGAGCGGCAAATCGTCCGTCGTACGATTTCCGTTTGGCAACTATCGAGAGAAAAGAAACGAGTTTCGCGAAGATAAAGTTTGTCGTTTGAAGTTCAACGTTTCCAAGTTGGAGAATTTTAGGTTCAAAGTTTAAAAATTCGACGTTCCGTGGTTCGAATCTTTCCAAGTTCGAGAATTTCAAGTTCGACTTTGAAAGTTCGACGTTTCCAGGTTCAAAGTTTTGAAGCTGAAAGTTCCGAAGTTCGAGAATTTCAAGTTCGCAACTGCAAGTTCGACGTTTCTAGGTTCAAATTTTCCAAAGTTCAACGTCTCCAACTTCAAATTTCTCGAGGTTCGAGAATTTCGGGTTCAAAGTTTGCAAGTTTTCAGATTCAAAATTGTCTAAGTTCGACGTTTTCAGGTTCAAATTTTTCCAAGTTCAAACTTTTCGAGAATTTCGAGAATTTCGACCTCAAAGTTTCGAGAATTCTTGGCTCGAAATTTACGATTTCGAGAATTGAAACCTCGTAATTTCGCGAGTTAGAGAATTGAAAGTTCAAAATTTTCAAAGTTCAAGTTTCAAAGTCCAAGGTTCGACGATGTCAAGTTCGAACTAGAAGTTCGAGAATTTAGAGTTCAAAGTTGAAAAGTTCGAGAATTTAGAGTTCAAAGGTTAAAAGTTCGAAAATTGAAAGTTCCAAATTTGGCAAATTCAAGAATTGAAAGTTCGAAATTTAAAAGTTGAAGACTCGAAGACTTGAAAATTAAAAGTTCAACGTTTCTAGGCTCGAAATTGTTCAACTTGGAGGTTTTTGAAGTTCCAGAATTTCAAGTTGAAAGTTTAAAAGTTGGAGAATTTCAGGGGAAACGAGAGAACCGACTTTTTTAACGCACCGCGTCTCGTTAGTTCCGCACGCGACCCAGAGATGGCGCCACAATGTCCAATTGAGAGCGACGAGCGAATCAGCGGTAACTCGTCCGCCGTACAATTTTCATTATTCGGCAACTATCGCGAGCAAATAAGTTTCGCAGCGATAAAGTTCGACGTTTCCAAGTTCGAGAATATTAGGTTCACGTTCGAGAATTTGAGGTTCGCCGTTTAAAAGTTCGACGTTTGGAAGTTGGAGTTCTTTCGAATTCAAGATTTTTAGATTCAAACTTTGAAAGTTCGACGTTTCTAGGTTCGAAATTTTCAAAGTTCAACGTTCCAAACTTCGAATCTTTCGCGGTTCGAGAATTTCAGGTTTAAAAGTTCAACGTTTTCAGGTTTGAAATTTGAAAAGTTCAACGTTTTTAAGTTCGAACGTTTCAAAGTTCGAGGACTTTAAGTTTAAAATTTTGCAAGTTCCAGAATTTCAAGTTCGAGATTTAAAAGTTGGAGAATCGAATGTTCGAAATTTTACGAGTTCCAGAATTGAAAGTTCGACACCCTCGAGTTCAAGAATTGAAAGTTCAAGATTTACGAGCTCGAAATTTGCAGGTTCGAAATTTTCAAAGCTCAATGGTTCCGAGTTGAAAATTTTCAAAGTTCAATTTTCTCGAGGTTCGCGAACTTTGGGTTCAAAGTTTCCAAGTTCGACGTTTCGAAGTTCGAAATTTTCAAAGTTCGACGTTGTCAGGTTCGAAATTCTCCAAGTTCGAGAATTTCAAGTTCAAGGTCGCAAGTTCGACAATTTCAAGTTCAAGGTTTAAAAGTTCGAGAAACTCGAGTTCGAAAATCAAAAGTTCAAGAATCGAAAGTTCAAAATCTTGCAAGTTCAAGAATCGAAAGTTCAAAATTTGCAGGTTCAAGAATCGAAAGTTCAAAATTTGCAGGTTCAAAATTTTCAAACTTCAACGTCTCGAAGTTCGTGAATTTCGGGTTCCAAGTTTGCGAGTTCGACGTTCTCAAATTTTTCCAAGTTGGACGCTTTCGGGTTCAAATCTTTTCAAGTTCGACGTTTCCAAATTCAAACTTTTTCAGGTTCGAGAATTTTCAATTCCAAGTTTCAAAGTTCGAAAAATCTCGGTCCGAAATTTACGACTTCGAGAATTGAAACTTTCAAATTTAGCGAGTTCGGGAATCGAAATTTCGCGATTTAGCGAGTTCGAGAATTG